ATATTTTGATATGAGCACTAATTTTAACAGGATGAAAGAAACTGATGTGATTAGCTTTGATTGTGTCTAGCCTCTAACAAGCCCTGGATCACTGACAGCATCCATTTTACATTATGCGCCCACACACAGCTCACTTTAAATGAGCCACATATGAAAACTTGCACAACAGAGAAATCTACATGTTTTTTTGTTTATTTTTTCTTTTCTTTTCTCTGTCATTTCTCCATGTTGATGAAAGAGGCTTTTGATGTGTGCAAAAAGAAAATCTAACACATTAATAGATAAAATAAAAGCACATGAAAAGTAGATTTTACATTTGAGATTCAAACTATTCTAGTGGGATTTTTTAAACAATTTGATCTCATATAAAGAAAGTGCACAGTGTGGCATTATTGAGAGGATAAGTGTCAGAATGAGCTGGATCCTGGGTTTATAAGAAACAGACAGTGCGATACAGACCACAGGAAGGGAGATGACAGCTTGATGTGATGATATAAATGTTAAAAGAAAGGATATTAATAAACTATTAATCACATGGGATAAATGACTATTATTAATATATATGTACTAAAGTCAAAGTTAATGTAATATAAAGTTATAGAATATACTATATTTTACTTATGTATACATCATTTTTATATAAGCATATTTATATGCACATATCTTGTCTTCATATATTGCCTTACTGTCATGATTAAACACACATATAGCACGCTATATTAACATGCGTTTGTGCAGCCCAGATGCACATATATGATTATTTGCAAATTCAAACTCTTCCACAGCCATATTCCACTTAAATAAACAAGATCTGCATGCAGCAGAGACATAGTTGTACCCACACACGGGACTGTGTATTAGAACTGTACAGTAGTAAATGAAGCATTAGTTTTCCTGAGTACTTCTGGCAGATAAGGGCTGGCAGACATGTGAAAAAAAATAAGTGATTTTTGCTAAAACAGGAAAATATTTTCTGTTAAATTATATGTTACAGTTTACGTGCTGTATTATCAGGTAAAAAACATTAAAGTCATGAAATTATATACTTCAGAAAATAATAAATGTCGTTTTTTTTGTTTAAAAAACTAAGAATACCTTTTTGTTTACTTTTTAAAATAAGTGTATTTTATGTAGAGAGGATGGCTTGTAAAAAAAAGATAAAATATATAAATATATTTAAACTTTAACATACATTGAATCATTTTGATGATGGTGGTGGAGAGAGCTGTGAAATGCGCTGGATCAGAATCTCTTCAGAAAGGTTTTATTTTGTTGAAATTGTGTTTGTAATTTGATAATAATTAAGCATCTGGCACTGTTCCTAGTTTAGCCTTTAGTAAAAAAGTACTACTTCCGCGGGTATACATTTTTTAAAATTCTGGTTATATTGCAGGTGACCTCCAGCTTTAAACACCAGAAAACACTCATGTCTTATCTGTTGTGTTTTCTTACAGAGATTTGTTTGCTAACACGGGGGAGAAGGACAGCCAGCGTCCGAGCTGACACGTACTGCCGCTTGTACTCACTGTCTGTTGACAACTTCAATGAGGTACTGGAGGAATATCCTATGATGAGAAGGGCCTTTGAGACTGTTGCTCTGGACCGGCTGGACCGTATTGGTGAGAAAATAACATTTTATGACTGAAATCACATCCAGTCTCATCCATTTAAGCCAAAGTGCAAACCAGTACTACATATTTTCATTTAGTGAGATTTGAGGCATTTTCCATCAAGAGAGCAAACATTTTCAAACCAGAACTGGAGCTCTTAGACAAAACTTAGGGGGTTTAAAACTGTTCTCAGTGATACTCAGTGACTGAAATTACTTTCAAAGTCATCTGCATATAAACATGCAGATAGAGCTCCAGTTTTAAAATCCCTGTGTGACTTCTCTTACGCATACAATTGATATTCTCTCCATATCCATCACTGTTCCCAGGCTCAGCCTAGGCAGATGAAAAATTCACAATGAAACGCATGCCTGTATCATCACTCAGCCTTCGCTGCATGCTGTTTTATCCTCAGCTATGTTTAGAATGGTAGATAGCGAAAATGCTTTAGGGGGTCTCTTTGTAGAAAATGGCTGCTTTGAAAAAGATGTGGTGGGCTGATAGTAATGTTTCTGTGAAATGGTCTCTTGTGTCCATCCCTTCTCCTGGGCTTGATGCCTATGTACACCATGTTTCCTAATAAAGTAACTGAAACAGGTGAAATCTGCAAATTAATTACTCTCTTGATGGACTGCAGGTGATAAAATGGTGCAGGTGATAAAAGGTCAAGAGGTGCAAGGTCAGGCTGGCTAAAATAGTTCCAATACGTCACAGAAAAAGCTCAAGTAATCTGACACCAGTCATAACAGAAAATTGGACAGATTGATCTGGGGCTTATAGCGTTTGCAGTATCATCAGATTTCACAGCCTTTTGTTAACACCAAATTGAAAATGGCAGTCATGTGAATTAACCCTATCACTGCTAGCGCAGCCACTGAACAATGACTAATGGACTCTAGCATCCAGACTGTGCACATTTTGTTAAGAGGGTAGTTTAGCAGTTGATATGCCTGCCATAATGACACTCACCTTATTTCTTTGACCTTGTGCACACCTCACAGGTACTTCAAAGTACATACATTACCAGAGTGAAAAAGTGACAGAGCACAAATAGCTTTAGTAAGCAATAGTTAAATGAACAAATGAACACAGGATAATTGTTATTCTAAAATGGAATTTCAGATTTAGTATTAATATTTTTTCCACATAAAATTTTTTGTTGCATAAAATGTTGCATTTTAGAACAAGAGCACTCAGAGAGCACAACTCTCTCCGAAGGGCAAGGACTTTAATAAAGGCTGTATAGTTAGCCTGTTATGGCATCATTGTGATGCCTTAGGACATAATATTTAAAAAAAATAAAATATGTGTTCTCCTCATGCTCTTTCATACAGTCCTGATCAAAAGTTTAAGACCACTTGAAAAATGGCAAAAAAAATCATATTTTGCGTGTTTGGATCTTAACAAGGTTCTGAGTAGAGCTTCAACATGCAACAAGAAGAAATGGGAGTGGGACAAAACATTTTTTTAAACATGCAATTTATTGAAAACAGCGCTTAAACTGAAACAGGCTGAAACATGCAAAATATGATGTTTTGCCATTTTTCAAGTGGTCTTAAAATTTTGATCATTATTGTATGATATATAACCTGTAGGGGTGGGTTTTTATAATCGATTTATCGATTAAAATCGATTCTGGCTTGGATTACGTAAAATCGATTCATTAAAATCATGAATCGATTTTTTTAATATAAATTTATTTTGCCC